TTCTGTAATATCTATTTTTTTTTTAATTTTTTTAAATGTACATTTTTGTACATTTTTAATTTTTTTTATGTTAAACATGATGTTTGTATAAATAATCCTCAATTTATAATTGTGTTATTATTGCGCGTTATAAATCTCGTTATTTTTAATCTTGACTAACTTTTACATTAAAAAGCTACAGTACATATATTGTAGCAGAGCTCAAGTAAAACCCATTTTCTATTATTCTCCAATTTTAATTTATTTGTTTCTGTTTATGTTCGAAACATAATTCAGTGTTTCAAGAACAATGCGAGAAAGAAAGTTTATTTTATGGATATTTACATAGAGTTACAGAACTCAATATGGATAAATTGGCAATAAGAAAAATCTTACTGCTTAAATATAGTAAATGAATATTTCATTGTATACTCCATTCGATCGCACAGTTCGTCAGATCCTTGCTATAATTTTGTGTATCGTAGTATTGTTTTATATACATATATAAAATATCTACATTCTTCTTTTTAAAATAATGTTCATCGCTCATCGCATGTCGCGAGAAATTGTGAATATAATGTTGTTCCAATCATTTTCAGAATATCTGATGAGCTATAATGTTCTGTTAAATTGCCTGCTTTTGCAGCTGAGCACTTACTGTGACATAAAAGTTAAATGACAAAGATACTCTTTGCTTTTGCCTTTTTGTGTTTAATATATCGATTGCAAGGTTACAATATTGAAATGTTTACATAGTATGATGTTTCGAGCATTATGTGCACTAAATTTTTGTCTTTTATTGTTTGTTTATTATTTTCAATTACTAGGAAAAGTCACACATGAAAAGAAAAAGGACATTTAATCAAATCCTTTAAAAAATATTTTTTATTTTTTGATTTTTTTCCATACTAAAGTGTTTTAAAATATTTTAATCCAGTATACATAACAGATATTGAAAAATGTTTTTTATCTTATAAGAGATTAATGCTCAAAACATAATCATACAGTTTAAATGTGTCAATATTATAATTTTGTTTAATCAAATTAAATTTAATAAATTGAAAAGTTTTTAATGAGAAAATAAGAAAAGATAGGGCAAGCATTTCACACTCGATCGTAAAAATAATTCGAACAGGATTAGTTAACCATTAATTAATTAATACACATACAAGACAAGATTTGATGACAAGATAAAATTTTTTTAAATATGCAAAAGTTACAGTAATTTTATTTTGAATAAATTATCTTAATTAAAAATGTGTAAAATTAAATATTAAACAGGTGTAGTTTAATGAATGCATAGCATAGAGATGTTATCAACATCCCTCTACAATCTTTCTATCTAATTGAAATTTTTACATTTCTACATTAATATTCTACATTGCATTTTTTATGACAATTTTGGGCGTAATAATATCTAAATTTTACGTGAAATATCACAACAAAATCGCGCTCTTATTGCTATATTTACTGCTGAAATTAAATTCGTGATAAAGGACCCCGCACAAAACCACGGGAAATTGCATTTTGGTCAAATTTTTTGAAACTCTGGGGATCGATAGTTTATGATCTCCTGAGAAAAGTCTGTGAGTATGAAGCCCCACAAATCAAATGTTGGGCCTCTAGAATCATTGGAAGGGTCAAAAACTGCCCAAAATCGTTTATTTTAAGTAAATGAGTTATCAACTGTATTGCTCTTACCTGCTTATCTGCGATTGTGTTCGAACATGTAT